TCATCACCTCCATCACAATCACCATCATCGCCACCACCTTCCTCACCATCATCATGATCACCACATCATGTCATTACCATCATCGTCACCATCACCATCATCATTACCCTCATTGTCATCACCACCATAATCACCATCATCATCACCATCACCACCATCACCATCATCACCTCCATCACCATCACCATCACCACATCATTATTGTCATCATCACCATCATCACCATCACCATCATCATCACCATCACCACCATCACCATCATCACCTCCATCACCACCATCACCATCATCACCTCCATCACCATCACCATCATCACCATCACCATCATCACCACCACCACCATCATCATCACCATTGCCGTCATCACCACCACCATCCTCACCATCATCATGATCACCACCACCATGTCATTACCATCATTATCACCGTCACCATCATCATCATTACCATCATCACCACCATCACCACTATCACCACCACCACCACCATCACTGCCATCATCACTGAAACCATCACATTCCTACCACCATAGCAACAGCAACAGTAGCAGAAGCCACCATAAGAAGAGAAGCAGGGTATCTTGAATAGAAAAAGGAAGTTTTCTTTTAGTTCTGTTTTATTTATGGTGTAGTTTATTAGTAACATGGGGACCATCTAGAGTGGAGAAGGGTCTAGAAGGAGTATACAAAGAAGAAAGAGCCGTGGTCTGCGACTCTGGACTGAGCTCTGCTCTCAACTCCCTGTGTGGCCTTAGAAAGTCATAGGTTCTGAGCCTTGACATTCTCACCTGTAGACTGGAGTGACCCTGACAGGAAGGACTTCGATGGTGGAGGCCAGAAGACCTCACTACATTTCCTTGTAACTTTCAGGTTCTATGGAAAGAGATAAAAACCTCATTCAAGGACCCCATTCCTCCCAGGTCCTCCCTTAAAAGGCTGGATGTAACACAGCAAACACACATAGAAAGACTGGGAGGTGGAAGGCGGGCAGGCCACCCAGGGACTTTGGGACTGGGGCTCCCAGGCTTCCTGACTGTCTCCCACACATACCTAATAGGGTGCTCAGAAGCCTCCGACCCAAATCTCCAACAGGCACAGACACAAAAAGTTCCCAGTATAGCCTGTTCCCACTGGGAGCAGGGTGACCCAGAAGAATAGCTTTTTGGAAATACCTGCCTTAGTCCAGCCCAACACCGATGAAAACGCCTCACCCCACCTTCGCGTTTCGGTGGGAAGAGTGGGGGATTGATCTAACACCCTACCCCCACCTCACTCCCACCCCATCCCACCCCCACATTACCCCCACACCTCACCCCACTCCATTCCCTTCCCTACCCATCTCACCCCCATCCTATCCCCACCTCCCTCCACCCCCCACCCCACCCCACCCCACCACCCCCAGCAGCAGCAGTGAGGCTGAGCCAGGTGGTGTGAGCCAGTCTCATCGCCACCACTTCAGCCTGACCCTTAGGGTCAGTGGGCTCCCTGCAGGGAGGTGAACCCCCAGCATTCATGAGGTGGGAAAAGGTGAAGGGATAAGCCCAAAGAAATCCACCCCAAGACGCATGAAAATTAAACTTCTGAAATCTAGAGACAGTGAAAACTCTGAAGCAGCCACAGAGACCTGACCCTTGACCTGGGGAGCCCAGCGAGTGACAGAAGATGCCTGATCTGAAACCAGCAAATAACAGAGGATGCCTGATCTGAAACCAGGCGGCTGGGGAGCCCGAGAGATGAAAGGAAACTGTGACCTGCAGATTTCACGTGCAGTGGACACAGCCTTCAGGGATGAGGCAGAAATTAAGTCACCTCAGTTGAAGGAAGGCAAAGATTCTGTTGCCAGTGTCCTTTCCTTGCAGAATGGCTGCAGTAAGCTCTCTAAACACAGGAGGAATAACAGCAAAATGAGTCTTGGGCTTCAGACAGGACAAAAGAACCCCAGATTAGGGGTCAATAGATTCAATATGATGAGCTTCTTAAATCATTTTTGATGGTTGAAGGAAAAATTTCAGACCCCTCTGGTGTTGCGTTCAGTGCACGCACAGCAGACAAGACAACTGTGTTTTAGAGGTGAGGGGAGAAGGGTCCTGGACAGAAGAAGGTTTCACGTTTCCCTCTAGTGGTACCACGTCAATGCCTGTAGCTCGTGACGTCATATACATCTCCACATATATGGCGTAATACCCAGGGTGACCACTAAGAAACCTACAAAATAAGGTACTCTAAACATGCTAAATAAATCAACACACAATCCTGAAACATGTTCCAGTAACCCAGAGGGAGGTAAGAAAAGAGAAACAGGAATGAGAAGCAGAAGACACAGCAGAGAGTGATCAGATGGCAGACTTGAGATTCCGCATATCGATGGGCTACCAGGTAAATGGACCAAATACACCAATTGAAAGGCAGAGACTGGTAGGGTGGATGAGAAAATGACCCAGCTATACACTGTCTTCAGCCCAGCCCCGTGCTCACTTCCGACACAGCGTAGGTCAGTTGAAAGTGAAATGATGGAAAAAGATACACCTTGTAAAGATTGAAAGACACACGCATTTCAGGTAAATGGGTTTGTTTCATTCAGGCTGAATTTCTTGAGCCCTTTTTTTCCCTTTCTTTTTTCCGCCTGCATTGCCTCTCCCTCTCTCTTCCCCCTGCGACATGCTGGAACCCACAGTGCGTGCACTTGGTAACCACATAGAACACAGGCGTGGGTCCATACGAAGCTGCGGACACAGGCAAAGACGCGGGGAAGGGGCGCTGTTGCTTTTCCAAAAAACCAAGGGAAGGACCATGTATAAAGAGTTATTTGTATTTTCCACTTCTCTCCCAATAATATTTTGGGTTAATTCCACCACATCAAAGTGGAAAAATTCCCTCCATGCATAATTTACTCAACTGTTAACGTTGGTGATGGCCATTAACTCTGTTTCCAGCATTCTCCCCCCAAACAACGATGCTATAAACATCCTTGAAAGTAAAAACAAACAGAAGAATCACACTCACTAAACAGAAGTGTTAATTCTTTGTACTTCCTTTGGGAGCAGGACCCCTGAGTTTAGAGGGCCCTAAGCAAACGGTGACTTCTGTTCCTGTCTGTTCCTATCTGCTGAGAACGACACCTCCACCCTGTTCAGCCGCCCGGCCTCTCACGAGCAGAGCCCAGGCCCTGGCATGCTAGCTAAGGGCCCACATGAGTAGGGGTTTCTTGCTCAGCCCTCAGAACCAGGCGCACCCACTAGTCCCCACCCTCCCTGCCGACTCTCTCGGCCCACCTAAGACCCTTGTTTAGAATGCAGACTTCAGTGCCCTACTCGCCTGAGGTCCAGGGCCCTACTTTCCTACAAACTGGAGATGGAATAGCTGGACTCAGCCCGGGCTGTCTTGGGAGGAAGCAAAGGGGAGTGGGTGTGGACCAAGCCACTTCACAGATTCACCACCAGGGCCAGAAATGACTCTGCTGCCCCCAAAAAGGAACTGAGTGGAGGCGGCCACAGGTGCTCCGGTATTTGTCCTTTATTGAACATCCTCCCAAAGCTGGGGCTCGGGTTCACCCCCCACTGTGCCCCTCGAGAAGCGGCCTTCAGAAGCATCTTCTCTGCACCACGGAGCTCCCAAACTCCTTGAAGTCTGCGGCGGTGACCCACATCTGCTTGAAGCTACTCAGAGAGGTGACGATGGAGGCTCCAATCCAGGTGGAGAACCACCGGTCGGGGGGAGCCGTGATCTTGATGGGAGTGTCCTTGGAGGCCAGCTGCTCCAGCTCCTTGAGAAGCCGGTCATCCAGCCCGTGGAACAGGGTAGTGCCCCCCGACAGCACGATCTCCCCAAAGAGGATCTTCTGGATGTCGGCATCACACTTGGTGATGCTGCTGGAGACCATATGCGAAAGCCCGGGGCTCTGGCAGCCCAGCTGCTGGGGCGCGAACAGGGCCTCGGGCGCCTGGTACAGCGGGTCCCCGAGGCTGATGATGTTCCCGTCGGGCAGCTTGTACTCCCTCAGGACCTCCTCCGGCCTCCGGGAAAGCTCCTTCTCGGGCTCCAAGGCCACGTAGCACAGCTTTTTTTTGATGTCATCCACCAGGCCCTTGTCCAGCTCGCAGGAGAAGGTGTGGCCGCTGGCCAGGAGCAGCTGCGTGAGGAGCTCCGTGATGTCCCTGCCCGCCACGTGGAGCTTGGTGACTGCGTGGGGCAGGGAGTAACCCTCGAAGATGGGGACAGTGCAGGTGACCCCATCCCCGCTGTCCACCACCAGGCCTGTGACGCAGGCCGAGGCGTAGAGAGCCAGCACCGCCTGGTCCGACAGGTAGAAAGCGGGCACGCCAAAGTTCTCAAACATGACTTCCGCTATCTTCTCTCGGTTCTCCCTGGGGTTCAGGGAGGGTTCCGTCGCGAGCAGAGGCTGGTCACTGGGTTTCACACCCAGCTCCCACTCAAAGAGATGCTTCCAGAGTCTCTCCATGTCATCCCACCCTGTGATCAGGCCACGCTCGATGGGGGAGTGCAGCTGCAGGGCCTCGAGCTTGTACAGGGCCTCCTCCCCCACAAAGTACTTCTTCTGGTTGGCCCCCGCTGAGGGCGCCTGGAATTTCAGGTGCCCCACGATGGAGCTGACGATATGCCGGGGTCCAAACTCCCCGGACAGGCCCGCTTTGCAGAGCCCCGAGCCATTGTCGAAAATCACAGCGGGGGAGTCTAACGCGTGCGGATTAAACATGCCCGCAGCCTTCCCTTCTCAGCCTCATCAAAATAAAGCCCAGCCCTCCAGGGCCACTTTGTGATGCAATAGGGGATCCCACGGCTCTCGGGGTGTCTCAAGGCAGGGCTAGCACCGCACCAGGGAGCCCTCCATCCTCAGGCTCAGGTCTGCTCTCCCTTCAGGGGGCCCCCGCCTGCTGAGGCCTCTTCTAGGGGGCTGCCTCCTAGGTAACAATCCAGCCAAGGCAACGATTGTCCTGAGCCTCAGTGGCCCGGGGGGCGGGGCTCTGAGTCCCCCATCCCCCACAGGGTGAGGAGCTCAAGAGAGGGAGGCAAGCGCATCCTAGGGTGGTGCTGGACAAGCGTGTGGGCTGAGGCAGAGACTTAGCTTTAGAGTGGAGAGAAGCAGCCCAACCTGGGTGCACCCCAGAAAACCAGCTTCCCTGAGCTGCAACCTCTGGGGTGACAACACTTCCCTGTGCTAAGGGGGAGAACCAAGCACCAGGTTGGAGGGGTGTTGTAAGCAATTCTGTCCCAACAGGCACTTAGAACGTGCTTTTGAATAGTGACTCCTCCAGGAAGCTCTCAGGGATTTCTCCTCCCTCCATCCCATTAGTCCCGGCTGTCTGTCCCACTGGGTGGACCCTATTCAAAGCCCTCTGGGCTGCTGGCCCTTTGTCCAGGAATACATCTCTGCTCTGGCTTGAGGCCAGGGCCCCTCATTCCTCTCTGCAGACTCTGAAGTGCCGGCACACAACAAAGTCCAGCAGCCACAGAGTTGGGAACCCCAACAGCCCCGAAGATATGGTCCACTGGTTTCACACGGGCAGCCTGGATTGCAGCCTGTGACACCTCTCTGTGTCTACCAGCTGCCACACAGTCAGGCCACAGCCACAGAGGAACGCTCAGAGATGACCAGGCCATTAAGGGTCAAGGTCTGAGCACAACCAGGAAGGAGGCACTGGGCCAGGCCAAGGGCAGCAGCTCCGGACTATGAGAGGACCCACAACGGTGCGTGCCCGGCACTCAGACCCCCACTTGATCTTCTGCTTGGGGAGAAAGTGGGAGGGGATCCAACGTGGGAACCAGCTTCACTTTTTTCCTGAGGAGGGTGGAGGTGGCCTTGGAGAATATGAGGTTTATTCCCTCTCTCCTGTCATATCCACAATCACCCTGCAGCCCAGCTTGGTCTGCCAAAGTTCTCCCAGAGGACGCCTCCCGGGGTCACTCCCCTCCTGGAGCCCCTCGGCTCCTGCTGGTGGCCCCCTCTGTGTGTCCTGCCTGCCCTGCTGACCCAGCAGCAGGCATTAAACCCACGGTGGTGTAGACACATGTCGTAGATGGGCAGTCTAGGCACGTGGCACAGGTAAGTGGTGTAAACACAAGGTTTAGACACATGGGATAGATGGTGGTGTAGACACGCGTTGTACACTCGTTGATGTGTGGTGTAGATGTGTCTTGTTGATACATGGTTTTGTGGACACCACTGATCCCTGGGCGGGAGTCAACAAAAACTTGATTATTGAAAGATTTTCCTAGAGGGCACCCCCCAGAGGGAAACTGAGTCAAATGCATGCCAGGGCGGTTGTGGCTTTTAAATCTCCATTTCTCTGGAAACCGTGGCAGCCACCCCACAGCTTGCTTGCAGTTGTCTGAGAGACCTCCAGGCTCCCCGCGGCGGTAGGTGTGGACGGAGGCACTGACCCATGGGCATGGCCTGGGGCCCTGTGGCCTCCTTCGCAACCTGCTGAGCCAGGCCCTGGAGGTCCTCCCTGCCCACATCAAGGTCACCCCGCAGGTCCTCCTGAAGGTCACCTGAGGCCTGGCCAGTGCTGGGGGACGGGGAGAGTGTCCTGGGACAGGGGCAGGCACCATCCCGACCCTGTTCCTGTTTGATAGCGTGCACGGGCAGAGGGTGCCCCCCTCGAACGCCGTCTTCCAGGCACGTCCCAGGCTGCAAGGTGAGTTGTCCTCCGATGCCTTTCCGGTTCTACGGTGCGGCCACACTCACAACAGAAGGGCCACCCTGCACGGGAAGAGCTCCCCCCACGCTGAACTGGGAGACCACAGGCACCAGTCCTGGGAGATACAAGTGGGCCCATCCCTGCTGACCTGCACAGCCGGGGGTCCTGGCAGAGGTGTGGCTGTCCACAAGGCTGGCCCTTTGAAGCCCTGGGACAGGATCTGGGTGGCTCTGTCCTGGCCCTGCAAAGGGGCAAGGACCCCCTCCGTCACATGCCCTGCGGAACAATGGCTCAACATCAGCTGATGCTGCCAGAGATGGCCCCAGATGGACACCAGGTTTACCCAGGAGGGCGACAGAGTGCCACTCAGGGATGGTATGCGTCCCCACCGGCTGAGCCCTCTGCCCACAGCCCCCGGCTGAGCCCCCTCTACCTTGTAGAGGTGGTCTCGGCCTGGGAAGGGCCCCCAAGGCTGGGACGACCGAGCCTGCTGTGTTGTCTCACAGACCCTGGCTCTGCACAGCCCAGATCCACCATCAGCTGCAGGGATTGCTAAGGTTTCGAGTCTCACGTTTTGGGGAGAGCATTCCCTGGCTGGCTGCTGTGTCTTGGGGTTCCAGCCCGCAGCCGTCACAGACGGTCTGCATCCTCAGTTCTCAGGTGTGGCTGGAAGTGCCTCAGTGTCGCCTGAGCTGAGCCGGGAGGAACGGGCTCTGACACTTCCTAGATTCTGGCTCTGCCGGTGGCCACAGTGGGAGGCGGTGACAATGCTGGGTGGCGAGGGCTCTTGGGTCAGGCACAGAGACACGTTGAGGTGGCCCTGGCGGGGCTGGGGTCTTGGGCATCTGCAGGCAGGACAGAGGAGGAGACAGACCCACTATGCCCGGGCTGCTGAGCTCCTGGCGGGGTGTTGTGGGGCTTCTCCGTTCCTCCGTCCCCTGTTACTGTCACAAGGCACAGTCACAGCATCCCGGGCACAGCCTCTTACCCTGTGCACGTCCTGCAAAAACACACAGGCCCCTGTCTCCACCCTGCCCGGCCCAGCTGCTTCCCCAGCCTCCGCATTAGGTCTGGGACTTTCCACCTGTTTCCAGCTCTTCTCGGTCCCTCCATGACCCTGCCAGTCCCCGCTTTGGAGGAGACAAGGGCATACCCCCAAGTACATAGCTGGGAAAGCCGGGGCACAGGCAGCACTGGCCAGGTCCTTTTTCCCTAAATGTTTTCTCTCCCTGCTGAGCCTGGGAGCAGTGGTGCCCTTGGCCCTGGGTCTGGTGGCCTGACCCATCTTGGTAACTCAGATGATCGTGGCCGGGGTGCCACGTGCCCAGCAGAGCAGGCCCTATGAAGCCCACCACGTTGCTGTTTGTCTATTTGGGAGAACCAATTTGCAGGCAGGGTGGTCTTGCCCCAGTTACCATCAGGATGCTTGGACACCCGGGGCGAGGCTGGCTCCATCACCGTCATATCTGGGTTTGCTGTTGGAGCCGAGAACCTCAGGGGCAAGGCCCGGCTCAAGGCCCGGCCACTGGCTAGGCAGGCGCTTCTGTCCTAGATGCTCGGTGTCTCACTGGGCTGAAGATTGTCCGCCATGTGGGCAGAGCCAGAAGAAGCAGGAAGGACCCTGAAGACCCCCCACCAAGGAGGCAACTGTCTGGGGCTGGCACCACGTGGCCACCGAGAAGATCCAGTGGGTTTATGAGCCACAGCCTACGTGACCTTGTACTGGTTTCCAGCTGCCCCGGGGCAGAGGTTCCTCCCTGCGGTTCTCAGTTCTCAGGTGCCTGGGAACTTCGGCCTCCTCCCGGCAGTGGTGGGAGACGCCGGGCTCGCCGTCCACGAGGAAACATCTTCGACCCTCTTACTACTTGGTCTACACCTCCTGGAGGTGCCCGTGTGAGACGCACAGGGGTCCTTGTCACCTGGAGGGGTTTGATGTCCAACTGGACAGAAACCCCAGTAACTGAGTGGACTTGGAGCTCAAGGGGAGCATTGGTGGTGAAGGTTGTTATTAACACAAGGACGTCCTCCTTTCCCTGCTCCAATTAGAGGCCACAGTTCCGCCTTGGCCCGCCCCGACCCATGCTGACCAAGCCTCATAAATCGCTTGAACAAGTTTATGGGCAAGCTGGCCGCACCGCCGTCCCCCATCCAGGGCAGGGCTCAGCCTGAGATGATTCTGGGGCCATCATTTCGTCCTACACAGAAAGCCTCATTCTTCCTTCTGCTGGAGTAGTCACACCCAGCACAGGCCCCTCCCACTCCCCCAGCACCCCCCACCCACCTCCCATCCCCGGGGAGGGGCCCCGAGACTGCAGCTGGAGGTGACGGACATGGGTGTCCCTGGGAAGCGCCAGGCATGTGAGCTTGGAGTGGGTAGCCCTGTATCTGCTGGGCACCCCCTGCCCCCACCAGCCTGGCTCAGGGTGCCTGGGTCACCCAAACCCTGGGCGAGGGGCCTCTCTGTCGGCCCCATTGTCCCTGGTTCCATCTGTCACTGGTGGCCAGAGCCTCAGCCAATTATTGACCAGTGGACAGGGCTCATTAGTGCCGGCCCACATCTGGTGGCCAGATCCCGCTGGCTGCGGGTTCCATGCCGGTGTCGGCAGTGAAGCAACAGGCGACTCTTAGATGGCAGGAGGCACACTGTCCTCGAAAGAGTGAGGAGGGTGTGGGGAGCACAGGGCCCACAGGCGGTCGCAGGAGGACCCGGTGCGGCTGCTCCCCCACCTCTCTGCCCGTGCATTCTCCCTGGCAGCTCAACCAGAAGGGCCCAAGCCCCAGCATTCTCCCCGGCAGCTCAGCCCTTGTGAGTCCCTGAGATGGAATCCGAGTCCCCTCCATCCATCTACCCACGCAGCCACCCACCCAGTATCCGTCCTTCCAGCCATACTTCATGCAGCCAGCCTCCCACCCTCTCCTGGCTCCCCCCTTCCCCTCCCTCCCTCCCACCTCCCTCCCTCCCGTCCTCGCTTCCTCCCTTCTCCCTACCTTCTCCCTCCCTCCTCCCTCCTTTCCTCCTGCCCTTCCTCTCCCCTCCCTCCTTCCCTTCCTCCCTCCCACCTTTGTTCCCTTCCTCTCTCCTTTCTCCCTCCCACTCTCCCTCCTCCCTCCCTCCCTTCCTCCTGCCTTCCCTCTCTCCTTCCTTCCTCCTTTTCTCCCTCCTTCCTTCCCTTTCTCTCTTCCTCCTTTTTCTTCATTCCTTCCTACTTATCTCCTTCCCTCCTTCCTTCCTCCTTCTTTCCCTCCCCTGTTCCCATCCTCCTTCCTCCATTCGCCCTCCCCTCCCTCCTTCTTTCCTCACTTCTTTCTTCCTACTCTCCTTCCCTTCCTCCCTCCCTCATTCCCTTCCTCCCTCCTCCCTCCCTCCTTCCCTTCCTCTCTCCTCCCTCCCTCCTCCCTCCTTCTTTCCCTTCCTCTCTCCTTCCTCCCTCCTTCCCTTTCTCCCTCCTCCCTCCCTCCTTCCTTTCCTCTCTCCTTCCTCCCTCCATCCCTTCCTCCCTCTTCCATCCCTCCTTCCCTTCCTCTCTCATTCCTCCCTCCTTCCCTTCCTCTCTCCTCCTTCCCTCTTTCCTTTCCTCTCCCCTCCCTCCCTCATTCCCTTCTTCTCCCCTCCCTCCCTCATTCCCTTCCTCTCTCCTCCCTGCTTTCTCTTCCTCTCTCCTTCCTTCCTCCCTCCCTCCTTTCCTCTCTCCTGCCTCCTTCCTTTCCTCTCTCCTCCCTCCCTCCTTACCTTCCTCTCTCCTCCTTCCCTCTTTCCCTTCCTCTCTCCTTCCTCTCCCCTTCCTCTCTCCCCCCTCCCTCCTTCCTTCCCTTCCTCTCTCCTCCCTCCCTCCTTCCTCTTGTTTCTCCTCCCTCCCTCCCTCTTTTCTTTCCTTCCGTGGTGCCCAGAGCCTCAACCAATTAGTGGCCAGCAGGGGTGGTCTAGGGTGAGTGGGGGCTCCAGCTTCCCTGGTCAGGGGATAAGCCCCACCTAGGCACACACTGGGTGCAGAGGTGGCCTGTCACCTGGGACAGGTGTGGCAGGAACCTGAGATGGAGGTTTGGGAATATTGGGTTCTGGATGCTAAAAAGACAAGGGGCCTCCCCGCAGCAGCTTCCAGGGCTCTGTGACTTGCTCCCCGACTGCAGGCTGGGCTGGAAAACGCAGACCCCAGGACCATCTCCCTCATGGGGTGTCGGGTAGGTGCCAGCCATGAGGGTGGGCTAAGCCCTGGGGCCCAAGCCCACATCTCAGTGGCATCATCCACGTGCAGACAGATGCTGGTAGACAGCTCCGCGTGGTGCCCAGAGATGGCTGCTGCCGCTGAGGGCATCCTCACAAAACCCACATCCTGGGGACTTCGACAGAGGTTGCTGACCTCTCACAGTTCTGAGCCTGGGAGTTTGAGATCAGGTGCCAGCACTGCGGGGTCTGTGAGGGTCGTCTCTGACCGCATCCTCAGTGGCAGAGGGGGAAGGGACTCTGCTCTCATTCTCTTCTCACAAGGACTCTAACCACCTCCCAAAGGCCCCATCTCCTGACCCCACCATGCTGGGTGTTAAATGGCTTCACAGAGGACTCTGCAGGGGAACATTCAGTCCACATGGGACCGGCCCTCTTCAGCTCTCCATGCAGGGGCCTGGAGTGAGGCTCATGGGCAACGTCGCCAAGGCTCGAGTGCCACTGCAGCCCCAAAGCACTCACGAGTGTGCACATCCTCAGGTGAGCTCTGCTCAGTCATCAGCATTATGAGTACTGTTGTTATTTTCCAATGCAGGGGCTCGGCGCTTCCCCTGACCAGGACTCAGTGCCTCACTGCAGGGCCGGGGGAAGCATCCAAACCTGGCACAGGGGAGGAGGAGAGTGAGCCCGGACACTGCCAAGCTGCCAGGCACCTCTGCCCGGAGGAACAGAGGCAGGAGGGTGGCGGGAGGACCGAGCTGCAGGGACACTAAGTCTGGAGGCTGGGCAGTGCCTTTGCTCACCTGCCTGGGACAGGGTGGCATCAGCGCACAGGGCAGCCTCATTCCTCCGGACTCGGAAATCTTTTGCTCTGTGCACACATGTGGTGGGGGGTGTGGGAGCTAGGCCTCTCCTCTGCCCCATCCACGGCAGGTGAGGCTGGAGCAGGCTTGAGGCTGACTGGGCAGGGCCACAGGCACAGGGGCCTGAGGGATGAGAACAGACCCTGCCCACGCCCACCTCCCTCCGGAGAGCTCTGCTCGCATTTGTATTATGACTTTCAAGGGGAACTGGGCTTTGACCTGGAGCACTGGCGCCCAGCACGGTGTGAGGTGCCAGGAAGCCCCCTCCCAGCCCCGCTTGCTGCTCCAGTGTCACTGCAGGTAACCTGGGTCCGGCGCGTCCCCCACGTGTCCCTGCCCCTCCTCCTCCGAGCGAGCGTGTGGAGCACGGCGCTGCTCTTCCGAACAGCTGCTCAGTGACCTGTTGTCTGCTTTGCCCATTTTATTAGACCAACCCGCTATTGAGGTGTTTGCATTTAATAATTGTTCAATTATTGAGGTTTTTCTGTTTTTTTCTTTTTTCTGTTAGAAATGAAGTGCCGTCAATTGCATCGCACATCCACTTGCACATGCTTGCTGTGTACTTAGGGGCTGCACTGGAACTCAGGGCTGGTCCATCCAGGGGTGCACGTGCTCACAACGTGGACAGAAACTGGCAGAAAAATGCTTTTCAGCTTCCTCCTTCCCTTTCCCAGGGTCCAACACCCGCTATGTGAAGAATCACGGGACAATTCCTCAAAGGGTTGCTTTCCTCCCAAGGCCTTCTAAAATTTCCACGTGAAAACTCGAGGGCGAATGGAGGGGTGGATTCTGGCAGCCGTTGCACCCGTGTCCTGGGGCGGCTGGAAGCACGTGCCGCAAACTCAGCGGTGGAAACAGCAGAAACTCATCCTCCCGCAGTCCTGGAGACCGGAAGTCCAACATCAGGGTGTGGATGGGGCTGCCAGCCTCTGAGGGCACTGAGGAGGCACCTGCTCCGGGCCCAGCTCCTGGTGTCTGGGACTCCTGGGCTGTGTGGGTGGCATCACTCTAGTGGGCCCTGTTTATGCCTCTGCATCTGGTTCCCCTTCTCCCAAGGACACCAGTCCTTTTGGGTTAGGGCCCACCTCAATGATCTCATCTTGCCTTGACCATCTGCAAAGACTCTATTTGGTCTCATTCCCAGGTGCTGGGGGCTAGGACGGGAATACGTGCATTTTAGAGGGAGCCAGAGTTCAGCAGGTGCTGCCTGCCCGCTGGGAACCAGCTGTGTTTGTTCACAGCAAGCAGCGGTGCTTCCTGCCTTGGGGATCCAGGTGACAGCATAGCACCCAGTGAGAGGCGGGAGCCTGGTGGGCATTTCAGGAGAAGCTGCTGCATGTGGAGCGGAGAAGGAGGGGCCATGGTCCTGTCCGGCCTCGTAGGGAGTTACTCTCCAGTCCTCTCCAGCTGGGTAAGGAGTTACTCCACACTTTAGCAGCTTAAGACAAGTGTTTCTCATCTCACATTTCTGAGGGCCAGGAATCTGGGCACAGCTTGTGTGGGTGCCTTTGACTCTCAGGTCCTGACGAGGCTGCAGCTGAGCTGTGGGCAGGGCCTGCGGTCTCATCTGAAGGTTCAGTGGGGAGTGAGAGGGGAGTTTGACCTCCAAGCTCTCATCTAGCCATTGTCTGGTCTCGGTCCCTTGCCACATGGGCCTCTTCTGGTGGCTTCACACATGGCATAAGCTTCCCTTGGGGAGACCAAACCGAGAGAGAGAGAGAGAGAGACACACACACAGAGACACAGACAGCAAAAGAGACAGAGACAGGGAGAGAGGAAGAGGGAAAGAGAGAGCCAGAGCAAAAGGTGGGGAGAGAGAAGGAGGAGGCAGCCAGCTGAGGCAGAGGCCAGAACCCTCTCTGGAAAGTGGCATCACCTGTGCTGCTCTCCACCCATCAGAAGTGCTCTGGTCAGCCCAGCTGAGGGGCAGAGAGGTCATCCAAAGGAAATGGCACATCGAGGGCCATCTTGGAGGCCCCCTGGACAGGACGTAGGCCAGGGCCCCAGGACTGAGGCTCAGAGTCACCCCCTGGGAGCTCCTACCCAATTCCAGCCCCTCCAGCGCTGTCAGCCAGTGCCCGGGCAGGGCTGGGGGCCGAGCCCGCCACACACAGCCTTTTGGGGAGTGTGGCTCCCGTGGCACGGGGCAGGTGGCAGGGGCACCTGGCAGGGCTCCTGAGAGATTGGTGGGGGGGCTCTCCCTGCTTCAAACCACGACTTCCACCCAGTTCCTCATTCTTCAGCATCGCAGGTCCTGATGTGCGACGTCCGGAAGGAACTGGGTCTTCCTCTGCCCCTGCATCCGGGGAGAAGCCTGGCTTCCCTGTCCCAGGAGCCCAGAGCCAGGCGGGTCCCGCGGGAGCGCCGCGTGGGGCCCTCAAAAGAGAGGCTTTCTCGCCCCCTGCCGGCGCGCGGTGGGACTGCCACGGGCCTGGGGAGGCGGCGGGGTGGGGGCGGTGGGGATGCGGGGACAAAGCTGACTTGCTAATTTCACAGAGGCAGGACCATGGGGGAGGGAATAAAAATCAATGTTTGCTAAATAAGGGGAAAAAATCGCCCTGCCTCGGTGGGGAAAAGGTTTATTTTCAAGTGTATTAAAGTGATTACCCAGAGGAAGGCCAGGCAGAATGAGTGTGTGTGCAGGGGGCCAGCGCTCGTTTTCCCAGCACGGCCTGCAAATGCGCTCCCTCCGACTGGACACAGCCGAGCTTTTGGTTTTAAATAGTTTATAACATTTCAGATGCAGCTCCTAAGTCAGCAGTCCCCGGAGACGCTCAACAGACTTCTACACTTAGCCAGTGATAAATAACCGGGAGAACACGGGGCCTGGAAGGATCCAGATTTAATTCAAAGAATTTAAAATCGAATGTTGAAAGAGCGCTTTGCATTCATGAGGCGTGCTCACTTCCAGCTGGAGAAAGAAAAGGCTTTGTGTTTGGGGGAGAGGCAGGAGAGCTAACCTTTCTGCCATGTGCCTGCCGCTTCCAACTGGCTCGCCGACATTTTTCATCTGCAAATGGCAGGCGTCGTTTCTGGAAGCCGACACGAGGAGAGATTTATCATCTCCGTGGACTTTCGGCTCCAGGTGGAAGGATTTTCCTCCACGGCGAGGTTGCCGCCTAGCCAGCCCTGACGGGGAGGGGAAGGTCCTGCCCCTTCTCTGTGGACACCTCTCTGGTTTCCAGATGGAAGTGCTCCCAGCAGAAGTCGTTGCCCGCTGCAGGCCCTGGGCTGTGTCCTGGATGACAGTGCACGTGCTGCCGGCTCAGGGCCGCCTGGTCTCTGTCACAGGTGGGGGCACATCAGGGGCTGGATGGCCGGTCTAACACGTCCTGCACAGCCAAGGCCATCTGAAGAGGGGGCTCCCGGCCGAGCTGCTCCCTTCCTACCTGCTGCTTCCCCTCATTCCAGAGATCAGGACCCTGGCTGGGCCCCAAAGGACTGGAATTGCAGCTCCTTCGAGCCTGAGAATCCACATTCAGTTTTGAAGGATCTGTGCACCTGGGTGTACCAGGTTGAATAACGTCCACCTGGCACCTTCGGAATGACTATCTGGAAATAGGGCCTTTGCAGATGTAACTAGGTAGGTTGAAATGTGGCTATACCGGAATAGGGTGGGCCCCAAACCCGATGACTTGTGTCCCAGAAGAAACACACGGAGAGAATGCCACGTGACAAGGAAGCAGAGATTGCAGTGATGTGCCCGCAAGCCCAGGAACTAGGCGGAGATTGCAGTGATGTGCCGGCAAGCCCAGGAACTCCAGGAATGGCTGGCCACAAACAGGGAGGAGGCAAGGACCAATTCTACCCAGAGTCTAGAGGGAGCAAGGCCCTGACCACACCTCAGTTTGGGACGTCTGGTCTCCAGACCATGAGAGCATGACACGGAAAGCTCATCCATGTCAGGCTAGCATTTTCCAGATCCTGTTTTAAACAGCCACAGAAAACGAATGAAGTGGTTCATCAGAGCCACAGATTGATTGTCAGAGCTTTTCTTAGGTTGCGAAGCTGCAACATGCTCCACCTCTCTGCTGTGTCCCTACTTGACATGGTTTGGCTGTGTCCCCACCCAAATCTCATTTTGAATTATAGTTCCCATAATTCCCACGTGTCGTGGGAGGGACCCGGTGGGAGGTAATTGAATCATGGGGGCCGGTCTTTCCTGTGCTGTTCTCGTGATAGTGAATAAGTCTCACGAGATCTGAAGGTTTTATAAAGGGGAGTTCCCCTACGCACGCTCTCTCTTGCCTGCCATCATGTAAGATGTGACTTTCTCTTCCTTTGCCTTCTGCCATGATTGTGAGGCTTCCCCAGCCATGTGGAACTGTGAGTCCATTAAACCTCCTTTTCTTTTCTTTGTTTTCTTTTTTTTTTTTTTGAAAGAGTCTCTCTCTGTCACCCAGGCTGGGGTGCAGTGGCGTGATATCAGCTCACTGCAGCCTCTGCCTCCCGGGTTCAAGTGATTCTCCTGCCTCAGCCTCCCAAGTGGCTGGGATTACAGGGATGAGCCACCAAGCCCAGCTAATTTTTGTGTTTTTAGTAGAGGTGGGGTTTCACCATGTTGGCCAGGCTGGTCTTGAACTCCTGAGCTCAGGTGATCTGCCTTCCTCTGCCTCCCAAAGTGCTGGGATTATAGGCGTGAGCCACCACGCCCAGCCCCTTTTCTTTGTAAGTCATCCAGTCTCAGGTATGTCTTTACTAGCATCATAAAAACAGACAAATGCACTACCCTTCCCCCCAGTTCTGCTCTGAGGTGGCCTTTGGGTGCTCTGAGCCCCACAGATCCCCTTCTTCAGCCAGTTTTCCCTATGATCCCCCACTGTCCACTGTCCACAGAGAGAAAACCACACTTGCCAACTCACCTTTTAGAAATTATGAACTTTCCCTCTTGCTGGCTGTTATTCTTTTTAAGAGGACCCGCAGGGCCTTTGAGTGGAAGGTACCACAAAGGCAGCTGCTAGTCTCAGACTTCACTCCCAGCTTGGATGATGGCGGCCTTGGGGAGTCTTTGGGGAGAAGTGGAGGCTGGGGGTCCATTGGCTCTGGGCAGCTGAGAAGGTTGGCTCCCCACATAAGCAGGTCTCAGCCTCACATTGCAGCTCAATATCTCTCCCCCAGAGATATCTCAGTGGAAAGCCTGTCTGTGTCAGGCTTGTATTCTCAGGTTCTGGGCAACTGTCAACAGATTTAGGATTTTAGGAGATGGGGATGATTTATTTAGAAACAAACCCAACATTGGCCTTATCAAGTGGCAAAAAGAGACATTTCAGGCTCCCCACCCAGCTTCTGAGGTTCTGCCATTTCCAGGGACCATGCTTCCACCTCCAGAGGGGCAGGCAGCTCCAACAGGGGCATGTTTGGGGACTCTGTGACAGATGATGTGGCCATTCTGTTGGAGAGGATGAAAGAACTCTGCTCTGAAGAAGGGCCACACGTGAGCCAAGCTGAGCTGCTCCAAGGAGCTGGCATTGCCTGTTGGAGCTTTGCATCATCCCCTACTTTCTTGCCCAGGGGCGCCGTGCTCTGGGCCTCCTATGTGAGCAGTCAATAATTACCTTTCTCTTCAGGGATTCTGCCAACAACAGCTGTGGAGCAGCTGGTACAGCTCCATCATCCCACAGGAGGTGGGCATGGAAGGCTGGGCCAGGACACACCTCCTCCACATGCTGAGTCTGTATACTCGGCTCCACGTGGTCACTCAGAGCCCAGGGGATGGGCACCATAGTGTAGTCCATGAGACAGATGTGGGAGGATACTACCTCTGCTTAAGTGACACATGTCACTTCTGCTCACACCTCATCAGTCAGGATGAGTCACATGGCCACGCCCACTTGCATAGGAACCAGGAAATGCGGGCGAGCAGAGAGCCAGCCTGGTGCACAGTCCTGAGCCTGCCCCAAATGGGCTTGCCTGATTCCCACTGCCCCAAGTGGGACATGCCTATGCAGCATATTTCTCCTTGTTCATCTGAAATTCAAATTTAACTGGGTGTCTTAGGCCATTCTTGCATTGCTATAAAGAAATACCAAGACTGGGTAATTTATAAAGAAAAGAGGTTTAACTCATTCATTATTCTACAGGCTTTATAGCAAGCATGGTGCTGGCATCTGCTCA